GGCAAGAGACAGATTCAGCGACAAACATCACCCTGAATATTTTTAAATACACAACACAGAATCATTTTGAAGCAACGTGAGTTACAGTCTCAAGGGTTCCATGAAAGACTGTATCATTCAAACCTTTCAGTCACTAGGACAGTTTGCTAAATCCAGATTTTATCGGTTGAAAAAGTTGAGATTGTTTCTCAGAAGAATCCCATTGATCCCCTACTTCCTTTAGGAGGATCCCAGTACAGAACAGGGAGCTTTGGATACACAAAATCTCCTGGAAACACAGCCCACGTCTGTGGAGCACCTGTAGGAACTGTAGATCAGCTCCCCCATCCCTGACAGATGCGTGCTATTCTACTCCTGAGAGGTGGGGAGGGCAAGAGACAAACTCAGGACAGCCACTCGGCCAGGGGGGTTCTGGGGTGGGACGGTGCTGAGACTTGAACTCAGGTCTACCTCGAAGTTGGGCCATAGCAAAGCTTTCCTAGAGCCCTTCCCCACATATAAGGAGTCTTCACATCCAGTTGATGAGTGCGCCTGTATGGATTCTAATTCACATAGAACTGTTATGTTAAAATAACATGGATTATTCACTTTTCAAAAATAAAATTGGTTTCGGGGAGGATTACGCCAAACAACTTATCCTTGATGACTCAGAAGGTATCTCTGAATTTTTCAGGGCATGCTGCCTAGCAATTAGTAGTATAACAACACAGATAGATAATCTGTAATTCTGGCCAACGGAGGGTCCAGCATTTAAAAAAATTTTTTTTAAACCACAGAATCCCATTTTAGTCTCTGGATTATTTCTTTTGTGCTTTTAAACTTATGCCACATAATGCTGAACGTGGTGGAGCACACCTGTAACTGTGGGTACTCAGGAGATTGAGGCAGAAGACTGAGAGTTTGAAGGCCAGCCACCTAGCAAGACCCATTAAAACTTTAAGCCACAGAGAATAAACAGAATAACTGTCCAGTACTTTTGGTGTTGTCTGTCACTACAGAATATATTCACGGAAACAGATATAGCATTAGTTTAACCTTTTTTCCCAAAGCATGTATTTTTCTATCACCCTGCATTTAGATACAGAGTAAATGAGCGTGTTAAAGCAGTAGATATGTGACTGTCTATGCTCATCAGGGAATTTGCTATTTACATACAGGGACTTGGCCTTGAACTTCAGGACAAGATGGAGACTATTGTGGAACGTGGGCTCAGAGATCTAATCTAACTTACTTCTGGCTATGAGTCTTTCTCACCTCGGCGTGGCTTCCCCATCAACAGCTCAGCCAAAAGCACGTTCTACCCTGGGAGCAGACATGTGGCCTGGGCGCATTGTAATTGTCAGACGGTTTTCCTTCATATTGATTAAATTCAGCCCTGGAAACTATAACTGGGTGATGTTCCAGAGAAAAAGTCTCAAGAAAATTTCTCAAAAGAAAATTTCATACCAGAGTCCCTGCACATACTACAATAAAACTAAGTGAGGTTATTTTTCGTTTGTTTTTTGAGACAGCGTCTTACTATAGTTCAGGCTGACCTTGAATTCACTATGTAGTCCAGGCTGGCCTCAAGTTCTTGGCGATCTCTTGCCTCAGACTCCCAAGTGCTGGGATGGCAGGTGTGCAATACCATGCCTGGCTAAGCGAGCTTGTTGTAAAAGAAAAAGTTTAAAATAAGCAAAACCTGCTACAATGTGCCCTGTGTACATTCGCAGGTCACATTATTCGGTGGGCTTAATTTTATCAACTGCTGTTCACCTTTCTGAGAAATAGGAAAGTGATTGAACCGGATGTCAGGAAAGCAGTAAGAGATCATAAAAATATAATGATATTCTACTACTCTCTTTCTACAAATATCCCAGGCTCTAGCATCCTCTTAGTAAATAAGATGTAGGACAACAATTACAAGGGGCGATTCCTCTAAAATTGTGCTCCCAAAAAGAACCATAATACACGTATCAGTCATGCTAACAGGAGCAATGAGATCAGTGTACTTTCATGGTCTCCCACAGAAAGAAAAAAAATATTGTGCTCTGTCTTCAGAAGTTGTTTTTCAGACATTCAACAATGACTTCCCTAGGGCTACAGAACTGTACGTTTTATAAAATCAGAATAGATACTGGATACACTATCTATTGAGAACTTTCTCTAAGGAAAATGTCACCTAATCAGTTTTTAGTAACCGACAAAGCCAAGGAGAATCATGCCACAAACCTCCAGATTCCCTACGATGTGCCAGACCCAGCCCTTAACACTGTGGTCCTTCCTGGTCAGTCCTAGTTTCACTATCTGAGGAACAAAGACCTCAGTGGTTCTACTTCTTACACAGGTGCTGCACTTCACTAGCCTGGGGGGTTAGGATGGAAGGAACAGAATGAGTACATATTGCTACAGATCCTTCTTCCTGACTTGTCCATTTCCTCCTCGCCACTGGGAAATTGGAATAAGCAAATCAAAAATCAAGATTTTAGGAAAAAGGGAGAAGAATGGTCAGAACTTGTGAAAAAGTTGAGCTTCTTGATTAAAAAAAAAAAAATCCCTGCTTCAAACTTGTCAGGAGAGTTAATACTTTTTAATCCTTCAGTAGGAACTGTTCCTACATGCTGCAGCTGTGAAACTAGCGATCCCAGTTGTAATTGAGTTCGTTTTAAGCTTGTAATAGACAAAATATTTCTGACACAGCCATAGGCACCCTGGCTGCAAACAGAACCATAACACAACTACTCTGTCACACTACCAGAACCTAAGGCTGAGATTAGAGCATTTCCGCTACATTTTCTATGGAATGTGAAGCCAAAAGCCACATACCTACTCCTTTCTCTCCCTTCTGCAAGATTTCTCATATAATCAGAGGCCTGGAGTATTGGAATTGTGCTGGGTTGTGAAAATCTTGCTAGCAGGGACTCTTAAATATGTTTGCAAAATCAGGACCAATCTAAGGCTTGGGATCCTCTCTTATACAGGAGCAAAGGTTAAAGAGTAATAAAGTGATGGGAACAGGTGAACCTCACGTTCTTTTGTTTTACAACGAGATAATACGGCATCAATGACTTTTAGCTCAGTAAAGATTTGGCTTAGGATGGGTCTCCCAACTTGCTTGGTCATACATTCACTTGAGACGCTTGTTAAAAATAAGGATCCATTGCGGGGTGTGGCTCCTGCCTGTAATCCCTCTTCCTGGGAGGCCAAGGGAGGAAGACTAAGTTTGAGGCCAGTCTGGGCAACCAAGACCTATCTCAAAAAGAAAAAAATAAAATAAAAAGGAAAAGAAAAAAAGAATTTTCCACTTCCTTTCTTTAGGGTTCTAATTCACTCCAGGTGACTTACAGTTGAGAAATACTATACATTTATAAAAGGAGATGTTAATCTAGCGAGCAAAAGGGTTCTGTTAAGTTACTTGGGTTTTCTGAATAACTTTAGTAGGAGGTGCTGGGGTGGCAGTATTTTCACCATAAAATCCTGTGGCAAACAACTCAAAATACGAATTCTGTACAAAAATGGCCACAGTTCCCAGCCAAACTCATGCAGAAAAGCCAACTCCTCAAAGGAAAAGGGGAGTTTTGAGGGCCTTCCGGAACATCCTTCCCCAGGACCGAGGGTCCCTCGGTCTTCTTTTCCATAGAGGCAGAGTCTACAGAACTCACAGACTGGATGCCTTTCATTAAATGCTGTACTGGACCTATGGGCTTTCAGAAGAGAGGATTTCTTCCCAAACCACGGTAAATTCAAAAGTAAAACCTTAGGGAAAAGGACTGTTAATTTACCCCAAAGGGAAGTTGTCAGGTCACCCACGTTTACTTACAACTCCAGTAAGGATTAACAGAAACAAGCCCAAATGCTGCGAATGCCTACAATTTAACTGGACAATTAACTGTAGGTCAGTGAGGGACATGCAGAGGAACACAGGCTACAGAAACCATCATTTAAATCAGATTTTGAATAAGTGCAGGTCAGAGAGATGAACACTAAGAAAGTTTCCTGACTAACATCTTTCACTAACATCTGTAAACTACCTTTTCTCCAAGTGTGTACGAGCTGATTTATTTATTCCTGGCAGAGAAAAGAGGACGGCGCCCAGATGCCACAAGAAAACCATTTAAGAGGATTCGGACCAGGGCCAAGGGCCCAGCCCACCTGAATGAAATCGAAATGGAGCCACATGCAGCCCAGGGAACCTAGGCTCTTCCTGAACGTCACCGGGTGAAACTCACGTCCTGGTCACAGGTGCGGGACGCGCTTCCCCTGTGCTGCCGAATAAATAACGCGGGGACAGCGACAAGCCCCCAGGAGCAGCGTGGGCACTGGGGCCTGGCTCTTGGCTGGAGCCAGGTCCTGAGCAGGTGCGGACTGCGGTGTCGGGTTTGGATCCGGACTCTGCTCCTTGCTGCTCGCCATGGCTGGGCTTCCTTCCCCTGCGTGCAAACAGGGGGGCCCTCTCCGCCCGCACCCCCGGCGTAAAGAAGGCAGAAGCAGGCTTAAGTGGACACGGGTGGGGGTGAAGTTGCCTAGCATTACTTCGATCCCAGCAATGACTCCACCCGGGGCTCCAGGGCAGGGTTCCCGACCGGAAACGCAGACTTTCTCCGGGACGGAACTCGTCTGAGCCCCCGGGGGCGGGGAGACCTTTGTCCGCGCTCAGTCGCGCCTCGGCCCCGGGTCCGCGCCACCT